GACAGGCATCCGAAACAGCTGCCAGTTTGGTTCTTGAGAGATCCCTGAATTGTGTGCAGTTACTTGGGCGAGTGGGTCAGGACCCTGTCTTGAGACAGGCAGAAGGAAAAAATCCAGTCACAATATTTTCTTTAGTAACAAATGAGATGTGGCGATCAGGGGAAAGTGAAGCTTACCAAATGGGCGATGTCAGTCAAAAGACAACGTGGCACAGAATATCAGTATTCCAGCCAGGCCTCAGAGATGTGGCATATCAGTATGTGAGAAAGAGGTCTCGAATTTATGTGGAAGGGAAAATAGACTATGGTGAATACGTGGATAAAAATATTGTGAGGCGACAAGCAACAACAGTCATAGCCGATAATATATTTCTGAGTGACCAGACAAAAGAGAGGGAGTAGAATGGATGACTCTTCTTTGGCCATCATTTGGTACAGTCTCATTTCCAAATCATGTATAATCCTTATAGTTCCCAAGGACAAGAATTAAAATACTCTTTTACATTTAAAAAAAAAAAAAAAAAAGAATTAATTTTGTATCAGTTAATGTAGATGGCTGGCCAATTCCTAACTGCTTTAAAAAGGTTCCAATCTGGCTGGGCGCGGTGGCTCAAGCCTGTAATCCCAGCACTTTGGGAGGCCAAGGCGGGTGGATCACGAGGTCAAGAGATCGAGACCATCCTGGTCAACATGGTGAAACCCCGTCTCTACTAAAAATACAAAACATTAGCTGGGCATGGTGGCGTGTTCCTGTAATCCCAGCTACTCAGGAGGCTGAGGCAGGAGAATTGCTTGAACCCAGGAGGTGGAGGTTGCAGTGAGCCGAGATCGTGCCATTGCACTCCAGCCTGGGTAACAAGAGTGAAACTCCGTCTCAAAAAAAAAAAAAAAAAAGGTTCCAATCTGTAAAGAGATTAACTTTACAGTGTGTTTCCTCAGCATTTCTCTTGTGTTGCTAATATTGAAGAGTCTGTGGTTCCCAAGTAAAAGAAAAGACAAAGGCAACTCCATTTCAAAATGAAGTAGACAATATCCCATCCCTCCCTGACAACTTCAGTTGCCAAAAGTTATCCCCTTTTCCTTGGCTACAAGTTAAATATTTGTTATTAGAGAGTAGTCACTGATTCCTACAGAAGTCCTGGAAATTCTGGGCTCATAAGAGAGAGCAGGCCCAAGTACTATCAAGAACAGGTGGCTAGAATTCTGCTAGAATTTCTAGTCAGGAGAACTTGAAATACATCAGGACTATCACCTGATAAGAACAGTATTATCTAGTTTCTAATGTATCTTCTTTGCCACGACTCAACTAGATTTCAGTTATATCAAAGGGGCAGATGAAGAATATTAAATTGTGGGCCAGATGTGGTAGCTCATGCCTGTAATCCCAGCACTTTGGGAAGCCAAGGCAGGAGGATCGCTTGAGCTCAGGAGCTTGAGATCAGCCTGTGCAACACAGTAAGATCCTATCTCTACTCTCCCCACCACCCCACTACTGCCCCAAATAAAAATTAGCTGGGCGAGATGGTACATGCCTATATTCCCAGCTACTCAGGATGCTGAGGCAGGAGGATCTCCTGAGCCCAAGAGTTGGAGGCTGCAGTCAGCCATGATCACATTACTGCTCTCCAGCCTGGGCAACAACGCAATATCCTGTCTCAAAAAAAAAAAAAAAACGTTGTGAACTAAAGGCAACAACTTCCCCTAAGCCACACCCAATCAGATGGCAGAGTTGAGTAACAGCATCAGAACTTTCCTCAGCCACATTATACACCAAGAAGACATTTTAATGATTTCTTTGCCAGAAAATTTAGCAAGGGGACCAAAAAGGAGAATCTCTTGCTGCATGAAACTGTTGTGTACAAATGCATGTGGTATTTCTAGAATATATCATGCCAAACTAAGGAACCAGAACCCATCTCTGGCTCCCAAAAATAACTGTCATACTCACAAGTAGACATTTTTGCACACAGGCATACCTTGAAGATATTGCAGATTTGGTTCCAGACCAGCACAATTTAAAGAAAACACTTCAATAAAGCAAGCCACATGAATTTTTGGTTTCCTAATGTATATAAAAGCTACATTTGGCAATTTCTGAAAATAAGACAACAACGAAGTTTTGCTGCATCGATTGACTCTTCCTTTCATAAAAGATTTCTTTGCAGCATGTGATGCTATTTGATAGCATTTTAGCTACAGCAGAACTGCTTTCAAAATTGGAGCTAATTTTCTCAAGCTCTTTATCAACTGAGTTTGTGTATGGACTATTCTAAATCCTTTATTGACGTTTTAACAATGTTTATAGCATCTTCACCACAAGTAGATTCCATCTTTAAAAAACTACCTCCTCCGGACTCCATGTTTGGATCCTCGACCATGAACACTGTTGTGGGAGCTGTTTTTCTCTATCCTGGATTTCCCCTCTGGAGTCCCCTTCCACACTCTCTCGTGGAAGCCTGTCTTCCCCTCCTAAACCCCAGTACAATATTTCCTCTCCTGGATTGCATCTTTCTGGATTCTCTCACTCAGTGTGAGAGCCGCTTTTCTCTCAAGGGGAGAGTTAGCCATTTGTTTCTCTCTGGTTTCTCTCTCTCTCTCTCTAAATAAAATCACTTTCTACAACAACAACAACAAAAACTACTTCCTCAAGGTGTCCATGTGGAGAATAAAAATTTTTAAATAATTTTAAAAAGAAAGCACCTCTTTTGCTCATCTATAAAAAATAACCATTCAAGGTTTTGTCTTTTGACGGTTTTTGTTAGTTTTGTTTGTTTTTTGACAAGGTCTCGCTCTGTCACTCAGGCAGTGGCACGATCTCGGCTCACTGTAAACTCAACCTCCTGGCTCAAGTGGTTCTCCTACCTCAGCCTTCTGAGTTGCTGGCAATACAGGCATGCACCGCAATGCCCAGCTAATTTTTTGTTTTGTTTTTTTTTTGGGGGGGGGGGCGGCGTAGAGACAAGATTTTACCGTATTGCCCAGGCTGGTCTTGAACTCTTACACTCGGGCAATCCTCCCATTTCAGCTTCCTAAAGTGCTGGGATTACAGGTGTAAGCCACCAGGCCTGGCCCTATTCAAGTTTTTTTTTTTTTTTTTTTGAGACAGTGTCTCACTCTATCACCCAGGCTGGAGTGCAGTGGTGCGATCTTGGCTCACTGCAACCTCTGCCTCCCAGGTTCAAGTGATTCTCCTGACTCAGCCTCCCAAGTAGCTGGGATTACAGCCTGCCATCACGCCCAGCTAATTTTTGTATTTTTAGTAGATACAGGGTTTCACCATGTTGGCCAGGCTGGTCTCGGACTCCTGACTTCAAATGATCTGCCCACTTTGGCCTCCCAAAGCGTTGGAATTACAGGTATGAGCTACCACAAACAGCCCCCATTCAAGTTTTATCATGAGTTTGCAATAATTCAGTCACATCTTCAGGCTCCACTGCTAATTCTCATTATCTTGCTATTTCTACCATATCTGCAGTTACTTCCTTCACTACAGTCTTGAATCTCTGAAAGTCATCCATGAGGGCTGGAATCAACTTTTACCAACTCTTTCTCATGTTGATATTTCTACCTCTTCCCATGAATCGACAAAACTCTTAATGGCAATTAGAATCACAAATCCTTTCCAGAAAGTTTCAATTTACTTTGCCCAGATCCATAAGCGGAATCACTATCATTAGCACTACGGCCGTATTTCTTTTCTTTTTTTTCCTTTTTTCTGAGACAGAGTCTCACTCAATTATTCCCCAGGCTGGAGTGCAGTGGTGCAATCTTGGCTCGCTGCAACCTTGGCTCACTGCAACCTCCACCTCCCAGGTTCAAGCGATTCTCCTGCCTCAGCCTCCCAAGTAGCTGGGAGTACCGGCTTGTGCCACCACACCCGGCTAATTTTTGTATTTTTAGTAGAGATGGGGTCTCATCACATTGCCCAGGCTGGTCTCCAACTCCTGACCTCATGTGATCTGCCCACCTCGGCCTCCCTAAGTGTTCGGATTACAGGCGTGAGCCACCACACCCAGCCAACCTTATTTCTTTAAAATAAGACTTGAGGCCGGGTGAGGTGGCTCACGCCTGTAATCCCAGCACTTTGGGAGGCCGAGGTGGGCGGATCATGAGGTCAGGAGTTCAAGACCAGGCTGACCAACACGGTGAAAGCCCATCTCAAAAAAAGAAAAAAAAGAAAAAAAAAAAAAAAGAAGAGTAAGACTTGAAAATCGAAATTACTTCTGGATCTATGGGCTGCAGAATGGATGTTGTGTTACTAGGCATGAGAATAACATTAATCTCCTTGTACATCTCCATCAGAGTTCTTGGTGACCAGGTACATTGTCAGTGACCAGTTACATTGTATTTGTTTATTTTTATTTATGTTCCACTTTTACTGTGCATACACATATGTTATTATATGCAATGTATTATAAAAATGAGCTTTACAATATGTAGTTTTATCACTTGGTTTACAACTAAATATATTGTGAATATTTTCTCTTCTACAACAGTTAAAAGAATTGCATAGCTTGGAGGAAACAATTTATTATGCAATCTTGTTGGGGACGCTGAGGTATAATTTTTTTTCTAAGGAGACTTCATTCTTCTTACAATGCCTTTGGAAACAAAAGGGGAGTCCTTGTCTTATATAGCTTTCTATAGATGATGGAAACTTGCCCCTCCATTTAGTCTTTTAACTTGCTTCTCTATAGCCATCTAATTACCAATCAAGTAACTCATTTTATGTTTTCCAACCGCTGTCCCCCACTGGCTTCCTCTTTCCTACCCAGTCTCCCTGCACACATGCAGACAGACTTCCCTTCCTTCAGCACTCTGGTTCCTTCCCTTAAAGAGGCTTTCTTTCCTTTTAAAGAGACTATTTTAATTGATTTTGATCAACTCTACTCAAAACTGTATCCTAAGGTCCACATTAGGATTGGTCTTTAATAATCTGAAGAGATAATTCAATTGTTTAAAAGAACATATGAAGAAAGCCTTGGTAGAATTACATGTATCAAGAAACACTGGACTTAGGCACAATGGAGATACGGCTGACTTTCTTTTGAAAAAAGACGTCGTTTTTGGGTGGAAGGGGGGCAAAGAGGTAAGAAGTAGTCGGTTCTGTAAGGAAATGCTAGAGACCATTTTGGAAATGTATTCATTATTTTAAGGCAACTAACAAATGATCATCTTTCAGACAGGACATTGTAGCAGCAACCTTTACTGGTCATGAAATTTGCCTGATATCTAAAATCGTATTTCTGGAAATAGGTCAATGTCAATTAATAGTAACTTTCTATAGAAAGGCAGATGCCAGCTAGCATCAAAGGGGTACGTGCAGACGGTGGTAGTTCTGGAGTCCCGGAAGCCATGAGGTGCTCATCCATCACAAGGCCATCACAGCCAGGTAGGAATGTCTGAGGAAAGCAGCGGAGCTGACCATGCCAGCATTTACACAGGGAACACTTCTTGGGAAGCCACGTGTCATGGGGCACAGACCCATAGTTCTTTTTGCGCACATCGTGCTCACAGTTCCATCCAAAGAAGGAAGGTGGACAGGCACAAAAGGACCCCAGCATGCAGGTTCCCCCATTCAGGCAGCAGGTTCTGTTTAGCTCCTTACTGTGCTGTATCCCCACAGGCAGCACAAACTTGGAAGACCGAGGGCAAATCACAGGCTCCTCCTGAGGCCGAATGCTGTCATCTCTGAAGGCCAGGTCTCCCTGAGATGGACGCACAAGTTCCTGATGACCCAGCCCTTAACGACCTATTTTTATTTATTTTGAGAGAGGGTCTTGCTGTGTGGCCCAGGCCGGAGTACAGAGGTATGATCACAGCTCACTACAGGCTTGACCTCCAGGGCTTGAGCAACTCTCCCACCTCAGCCTCCTGAGTAGCTGGGACCACAGGTGTGCATCAACACAACAGTTAAATTTTTTTAAAGAATCTTTATTTCTGAGCAGTAGGTTTCAACCACGGGCTTAAAATATTCAGTAAACCATCCTGTAAACAGGTGTGCTGTCATCTAGGCTTTGTTCCATTTACAGAGCAGAGGCAGAGTAGACTTAGCATCATTCTTCAAGGCCTTAGGATTTTCAAACCGGTAAAAGATCACTGGCTTTGATTTCAAGTCACCAGCAGCATTAGCCCCTAACAAGAGCATCAGCCTGTTCTTTGAAGCTTTGAAGCTAAGTACTGACTTCCCTCTGGCTATGAAAGTCCTAGACAGCACCTTCTCCCAAAAGAAGGCTGTTTCATTTACACTGAAAATCTGTTGTTTAATGCAGACACCTTCATCTGTGACCTCAGCTAGATCTTCCAGATAACTTGCTGCAGCTTCTCCATAGGCACTTGCTGTAGCTTCTCCATAGGCACTTGCTGTTTCTCCTTGAGGTTTTATGTTAACAGCTTCTTCCCTTAAACCTCATGAAGCAACCTCCAATAACTTCCAGCTTTTCTTCTGCAGCTTCTCATCTCTCTCAGTTGTCAGAGAAGTGAAAAGAATTAGGAACTTCCTCTGGATTAGGGTTCGGCTAAGGGAATGTTGTGGCTGGTTTGATTTTCTATCCTGACCACTAAAACTTTCTCCATATCAGCAGTAAGATTGTTCTGCTGAACTAGACCTTTCAATTTCCTTAAGAACTTTCCCTTTGCGTTCACAGCTTGGCTGTTTATAGCACAAGAAGACTAGCTTTTGACCTATCTCAATTTTCAACATGCCTTGCTCGTTCATCATTTCTAGCTCTTGACTTACCAAGTGAGAGATGTGTGCCTCTTTCTTTCTCTTGAACATACAGAGGTCACTGTAGGAATATTAAATGGCCTAATTTCAATATTGCGGTGTAACAGGGAACAGGAAGGCCCAAGGAGAAGGACAGAGATGAGGGAACGCCGGTCAACGGAGCAGTCAAAGTATATACAACATTTACAATTAGACTTGTTGTCTTATGTAAGTGCGGTTCACTGTGCCCCAAAACAATTACAACAGTAACATCGAAGATCACACATCACAGGTCACCATAGCAAATATAATAATAATGAAAACATCTGAAATACTACAAGAATTACCAGTGTGACAAAGACACAAAATGAGCACATGCTGTTGGAAAAAATGATGCTAAATGCTCAATGCAGGGTTGCCACAAACCTCCAATTTGTGAAAAACACAGTACCTGCAAAGCGCAAAAAAAGCAAAGCACAGTAAAACAAGGTGTGCCTCCATTTGGTCACAATGTGGACTTCTGGGAAAAGGAGACTCAAATATAAGCAGATTAATTAGAAGAGTTAAGAGAATTAATTAATAGTCCTAAAGAGAATTCATCTTAAGGCTAAAAAACTAGAATTCTCATTGAGATGTTTTTTTCCCAGGCAGAAATCCAAAGTACAGCCTGCATGTCAAAATTGTGAGTGAGAGACTTCTGTGCTAGCAACATTTTTTGTTTGTTTAATAGAGATGGGGGTTCTCACTACGTTGCTCAGGCTGATCTCAAACTCCTGGGCTCAGCTTCCCAAACTACTGGGATTACAGGTGTGAGCTGCCACACCTGGCCCTAGCAACAGTTTTCAAGAAGCTGAACGTAATTATTCAGTGGCTGGTGTATATGATGGAGATATTTGTGACTGATCTAATCTGAAGCTTCTCTAGTCTGACTGTCATTAGCAAAGCCTTTGCTACTTCTGCTTTGTCTCAGACAGCAAAGCAGCTACAAAAAGGCAGGAAGGGCAGGAATATGAGCTAAGGATGATTCTGGAATTATAATTACATTTAGATTAACAGATAAAATGAGTCAGGGGGCAAGCACAGCTGGAATAATAGTCATAAAGCACACAGACCACCTCTTTTGTAGGCCTTAGCAACTACGGGCCATAGCACTTAACCTGGGCTTTATAAAAGCCCCTATTTCTTTCCAAAGGGATGGCAAACATGAAAATGGACGCCTTCCTTATACTTATTTGCCATCTACATTCCAGTAGGTGGTCTGGGCTTGAAAGCAGACAGACAGCAATGTCACGGGCAGCCACACCTTTAACCTGCTTATGAACATCTTTATGCGAAGACAGCTGCTGAGGGCTTCAGGAGAGACCTGCTGACAGCAGATTTCTGGATGTCCTGTTTGTGCATTTTGGTAAACACAGGGACTCTGCAGTCTCAATCCTTGCTGTAGACAGAGATGAATGGCAGGAGAAGATGCCTTCCTGGGAAGATGGTCATTCATCCAGATCACAAAAGAACAGAAAATTTAACCTGATGCTGACCAACCTCCAAAGCCACCATCCCAGGAGATAAATCTCAATGGTCTTGCTCCACAGCAAGCTTGTGGAAAGGCTCAAAAATGGCTATACATCATTTTTAAAGGTTTTTGAATCAGCAGGACAATAAAAGTCAGACACTAAATATGCTTGTTCCTGTCCTCTAACCTTAGACATATCTGATTTGGTCAAATGGAAGAGAACCACAAAAGATGGGCTCTGAGTAATGGCTCCTTTGGTTTTCTCAGAACACCGTACACCTGGATGTGACGAGCCTAAAAATGGCAAAATGATCTATGACTTAGCAAACAGAGGGAGAGGTCATCAAAGTGAGGTAGCAAAGGCAGGAGCATGAAGTGCTGAGAAGGTGAGAATGCCAAACAGAGGAACAATCTGTCTTAATGGTAACCTAATTGTTAGGAGGATTTCTCGCTGTATCTACCTTGCGTGTCCCTCTGTACCTGAAGAAAACTATAAATTGTGACGCACAAGCCTCTAACTTTCCTTCTAGTTACCAAAGCTAAGGCAAAAGATTCGGGCAGAAAAATTAAAAGGGGCTGGTACATTCCTTGTTATTCTCCCTCCTCGTGGAGCACACAGACACTCAGAGAACGGGAGCAACCACAAGCAGCATTCAGTTTACAGTAGAGGGAGGTGGGCAGAGAAGGAGACAGAGAAAGAACAAATAGCTTCAACCAGCCAGCAACATCCTTTACTAGAAGACCTGGACTACTAATGTTGAAGTGGCTAATCCACAGCTGCTATTAAAAACAAGATTCTGGTCTACATCAGCCCAAAAAGAAAGGCGAACACCCCAGGAGGAACTTTCCAAGGATTATTAGAGAAATTAGTCCATTGCTACTAACCAGGGAGCAATATAAGACCCCCTAAGAAAAAAATAGTAAGTCAGTGCATGAAAGGTGAAGAAGGAAATGTAAATTCAGGTCATGCTAAAGCCAGGGGAGGGGTGGGGGAGAGCACACAGGTGGGCTGGGGGGAGCATGAGGAGGAGGCAGTCTGACACAGGAAAATCGAGGGGGAAGGAAGGGGAGAGAGAGAGGAGGTGGTAGCAGAAGAAAGGGAAGGTAAGACAAGAACAGAACATTTTAAACTAACCCAGAACTTCCTTGTGAAGGACAAGTCACGAGGCAAGATACAGCTTGAAGGCATGAGCCCCATATTTCACCACTGCAAAGAGATAACACAGCCTCCAGGCGTGCATAGAAAGAGGGCTAGGCAATCCACAGGACTGACTCCCAGGGCTCCACAGCATTACTGAGAGAAAGTCACCCAGGCTTTAAAGCAACACTAAGTGCCAGCAGCCTTGGCATGTACGTTTAAACTGCTTCCCTGAATAGACCCTGGTGCTGGAAAAACCGTAATATCTACAGGAGAACATATTTCACTACAAGTGTCTGCCTGGCTAAGGGAACAGAGACACTCTGTTTCTTCCACTGCTGATATATGCATCCACCTCGCCCTAGAGTGGACGGAAGGGAGAAGGAACAGGCTGACAGTCAGAAGGTAGCTCTGCTCTTCTCTTGCAGTTGACAACATAGGACCATGACCTCGTCTCCATTTGTCACACCACTGCTACTTCAGGCCATTCCTGCATTTCTTTCACATTTACATTTTTCTCAGACAAATAAACCTCCCACTTAGTTTTCCTTTTGCTTCTCAGAGCACGAATGCTAGTGTGTTTAATGACAGCATCAGGAAGGCAAATTGGTACAAAGGTTGTTCCCACTCTCTTAGTGCTTTCTGGCAAAGAGGTTTTCTCAAACACATCATAAAGCTTTGTTGGAAGATGACTTGTAGGGAACTCTCCATTCAGTTAAGGAAGAAGGCTGAGAGGGAGGTGAGAACTCTTAAGGCCCCAGACCGGACCCTGCTATGTCAAGATGGAAGGCAGAGAGGAAATGACTGACAGGCTGTCCTCTTCCCCAAATGCCAGCAAAAAAGGAGGAAGAAACAATGCTTCACCGCCCTTCCCTCTCTCTTGCTTTTATGTTTGACAATACCAAAATGTAAGGAATCAAAACAAGAAACAAATGTCCAATTTGATACAGGCCATGAAAGCTCAGTTTCAGGAATGGAAGGAAACACGATGAACGGCTAGAAAAGTCAGGAGCAGCAGGTGAGAGAATGGAAAACCCAGCAATAAGACTGGCTAGCTTAAATTCTAGAGCCTGGGGCTGACTGCTCCTTTAGCGCACTCCCCAGTGGGTCTCCCCACTGACCACTCAAAAAGCCCAAAGAAGCAAGAAATCACTTCTCAACCCACCACGTTAATTTGACAGACAACTTTCTAAAGTTTCTGAGTAGAGGGTATGAGTAGGGAGATCAAGTTAAGGCCCGGGAGTAGGATCTTAACGAGTCAATCTGATCAGGGCAGTAAGACAGAAAAGCCACGTCCTAGGGAAATTCAAGTATTTCAGAATGAAGACAACATCTCCACAGCTACTCTGCTTAGGAGAAAAAACGCCAACCCTCCAGCCTCCCTGATGTGGTAAAGGCAGTACATGAGAAGTTTTCCGCGGTCACTGTACATGCACAAGGTAAATGAAAATGTTGCCAGAGGAGCAGCAGCCACCATCCTCTCACACTCTGGCCTAGGGCCCAATGGCGGTCTCTGTCCTTGGGCTCCAGTGAATCAGCAAGGCAACTGCCAGAGGTGGAAGTTCTCTGGGCATCTTAACCCTCTCTCCTTCACCCCATCCTGTTACTCATAAATAAAAATCGAGGAGCTGGGAGCAAGAACATCCACCATTGCTCTGACAGTGGCCGACACGGAAGCACTCCAAGCTTGAGAGGAGAGGGAAGAAAGCAAGCTGAGTATGTACTTACTCAAAGTCCTCAAATTCCAAGTCGGTTCCCTCTACTGATGGACCCTGGTTGTCTGAGGAAGAGGAGGAGGTGGAAGAACGGAGGCGGTTCTGTTGGTAGCGCATGGAGCGCTGGCGAATACTGTCTCTCCTTGAGAGATACTGGATCATCCTCTGGGCGTAGTATGCAGCAGGAGATAATCTGAGAGAGACAGAGATGGACAAACACAAACTAGCACTAATGTGGGGAATACTGTGAAAGGCAGTCAATCCAGCTCTCCCATGGCATCTCCCTGCTGAGGTGAACTCCAGAGACATGAAAATCAAAGGGCATTTAACTCACCAGGAGGTTTGCACTGCAGAATATGCTTATCGGACTATCGCCAGGGTTTCTGTTCTGAGATAAGGCGAACAGGCGGCTTAACCAGACGTCTTCTGAGGAAGAACGGCCCCTCCCCAAGAGAATAACGCTGGACCTTTCCTTCTAGCTTCTTAAGGTACACTTTTAGCTCCCCAGGGTGCGCTTTACACAGAGCTGTGCTCATTCACAGCTTTTCCTTGATCACCATCCATACACAAAATGGAAGACATGAAAGGGACCTGAGCAATCATCTACCATCTTGTTTTATAGATGAGAAAAGAGCCCAGGAGATGGTAAGCCTAAGACGATTAAAGAAGGCATCCACAGGTATCTTCACCAGGACTTTTTTCTTCGCCAACATGTATACATAGCTCCAGATTTGTCCTACCTCCTTAGAATGATCTCTTGGAACCTCTTTTTTCTCCCTTACAGATTAATCATAGATATTTGCAACATGGGAAAAAAATTCAGAACTGAGATTGAGAATAAAATATACTTGGGAGAACAGAAAATCTAACAGAAAAACTTAAAAGAGATTTTTTTCTATTTCTTACGATCAGAGCATCAGAGGCTACGTGGGCACTGAGCAATATGGAAGGTGACGGTTGTTCATCTTTCTTCTCCCTTATGATGGCTATTCCTGTAAATAATTAGTCCAGATCTATATTCTTTAAACTATGGCTTCAATATCTTACTACTCCATGAAAACTTCCAGAGTCCCATACAGTACTCCACATTGCCTTCTCAAGTTTTCTTCCGTCTCTCACAACACTGTTCTATAATTTCATGCTATGGACTGAAAACATGAGAGGGACAATAACAGAAGAATGTTTTCTATAATATTAAATGGATTACTAAAAAACTTCAAGACTAAAAGCATGCCCCAGGCACACGTTGACTCAATAACTCCACTAGAAACTTTATTCCACAGAAACACACAAGGTTACAAAGATATATAAAAGAGAGTTCATTTGCAATATTGTCAGCAGTAGTTAAAAAAAACTGGGAAGTAACCCACATGCCCGGCAACAAATTAAATAAATTATTAATACATCCATACAAAGAAACACCATGTAGCAATTAAAGAGAATAAATTATTTCTATATACACACAAGGAAAGTCCTCTAAAATAAAATCTTAAGTGAGAGAAAAATTGCTGTTACTAGGAAAAAAACACTATAAGGGGACACAGAAATCCTAATGAGGATTCCTGGGACTTCGGTATTTTATATACTTCTATAATGTTTGAATATAAAAGGAGAAAAGCATAGATCTTCAGTTTTTTAATGGAAATCTGAAAAAACCTGATTAAGAATGGAAATAGGAACAGTTATAGAAATAGGAACAGTTATATCCAAATGGTACAAAAAATATTGGCAAATATCTTGCAAAGAGGTCCTCAATAAGTCTACAACTGCAGTCAACTGCTAGAGGAACAAAGGCTGCCTCTGAAATGTCTGTCATCAAAGGTGGTATCTTTCTGGCCAACCAGCAAATGGAATTCCCAAGCAGCCCAGCTAACAATCTTTTGAACTCAAAAGTCTGTTTTACAGAATAATGTGCTGCAGTGAACACCAATGAGTCAGTATTATAATATCTTTGTATAGCAAGCAGGCATGGGAGGCATAGATGCCTTGGCCAAGAGAATCAGAGAACAAGAGCTAGTTCCTAAAACTCTCAACTGGAAGAACTTTCGTTATCTGTTTGGGCCCCTGTTCCCATGCATTTTACAAGGATGAATCACAGAATCCTAAATTTTCAACCAACAGAAGTCAGTGTT